AGCTCGGGAAGGGTAACATTACTCGGTATATTGATGCCCTGCCAAGATTTTAATACCGTGGGCCCAGACACAATCTGACAAACGATAAAAACCATTGTCCGAGAAGCGTCAAATTGAAAAATCCGAGGCTGACATTCAAGATTTTTCACCCACGGCGGCCATTTTGAGAGAAACACAAAATGATTTCAAATGACCACCGTTAGTTGTTAAACTAACGGTAGATGGCGCGCGTGCGTATTGACGATCTCTGACAATTTTTGAGGTGAAAAAAATGGATTTTTTGAAAAATATAAAATATAAAATCGAGGCGGCACCAAAAAATTGAGGCGGGCGGCCATGTAAAACAATTTATTAATTTTAAGTGGCCTTAGGGCATAAATTGAGCCCTTTTTTGAATAGAGCGCACCATCTAGTGGTATCAGAAAATACAGCAAATGGTTCACAAAGCTTCAATTGGTCATCACTAGTTACTGTATATCTAAATACACTATGACGTTTACAAATATACAGCAAAAAGCCCAGTTAAGTATATTTACAATATCGTGCACAGTTGTTTGTTCATTGGGGAAAAAAAATCTGGAGTGTGCTGTGACTTGAGCAAGGCTGTCATTAAGGCTGCGTGCGGCGCTCACCTGCCGGCCGTGCTCTGTGACCCAATCAGCATCGAGGTCACCAAGCGAGCACCCGCGCACTGCCCCGCAGTCTTTCTGTGGCGTCTGTGCCGCCAGCACCACGTAGTCCCTCTGAGACGAACACTTTGCAGGGAGACCCATTGTACACCATTTCACACTACTAACCACATTCACAGCTACATGTCAGTATATTTGGGCAGTGGGAAATACATTTTCAATTTTTTATGACATAACCACATCTTTTCATGAAATATTTACATGCAAAATAACACAAAACTTTACCTGTCCAATCAAGATTCCACTAATACAAGACGCATGCACAGTCTGGAGGTTGACCAGGTATTGTTCTACCAAAGCCTCCACAATGTAGCCTCTTCCCATGGTGAAGGTACACTGAAAATAACTTAGATATATTAGTGCTTGCTTTAAGAGACTCAGTGACAGCTTCATTTGCATCTAAATTATATGTACATTTATAGGAATGACATGACAATAATAAAGTACCTTAGCAAAGCTAAATTACTGAGTTGTATTTTTGTTCAGAGATAAGTTGCCATATGGTTCCGTTTAAAGAGTCTTGACTGTACATACCGATGACTGTACTGGTCACAATTTTTTCCAGTGGACTTCCAGTCCCTCGGATGTTACATTTCACTGTATCAACACGCGTAAACTTTAGTTAGCTAGATAACCAACAAGCCGAACTAAAAGCAGGAACACGTCACCGCATGGATTTTTCCGTCGGTTAACTGGCTTACCAGCATACGCACGCATACCAACCCAGTAAGAAAACACTGTTTTCATTTTGAAAGTCTAATGAATGTAGCTGCTTCAGAATGTGGATGCAAATAAATGGCTTAATAGTAAATTAACAGCTGTACATACAATGACAGTGAGACTACACAATAAAAATCTTGAATAGCGGCTGGCTACTCTAATATTTATTAATTTCATTGTTTCAGTATTTATACGAAAATTCACATACCTGTTTTAACCAATATTAGCAGTAACGAGGTGTTTAAACAAAGCACGTGAGCATTGGTTAAAGTTCTCGCAGAAAAGAAACGTCAATGACCCTTTTTTGGGCCAAAGAAACTCCATTTCCCATAATGCGGCGCGGTCGCTTCCGTCGCTTGCGGAAGTCGTATCGGTTTCGGGTGCGCTACATTTCTCGCTCGTGAAAGTAGAATCCGGCGGTATTTTTCCAACAAGAAGCTAACGACCCATCGCTCGGACCGACAACCGGGCGAAGATGGCGGCGGTCCTACTGCAAATTCTCGAGCGATCTGAGATTTCCAAGCTCCCCAAGGCTGTTCAGAATAAACTGGAAAAGTTTTTCACTGACCAGCAGTCTGAGATAGACTCCCTCAAATCATGCCATGAGCGATTTAAAGTAGACAGTGGTAAGTTGCTGTTTTGGCTAGGAGGTAATGGATTATTCAATAACGTATTAACAGGTTGTACGTTGGAAATGAATTAATTAGCCAGACTGCATGCTGTATTGAAATGGTTTTATTGTGAAATTTACATATAATCTGGCGTGAAGATAGTCAAACACGCAGGCCTCGACCATCTCCCGCATTATCTTTTCTGGTTTGTCTTTCTGCCTGTAACTAAGAAAAACAACGTTTTAGTCTTGTTTTTCATTTGGCACCCTATAAAACAAGCTGAATTTCTTTTTAATGCTTGTAGCTGCGTGTCTGGTGAATGTTAAATGACTATCTAAGCAATAAGCATAATTAGGAGCTTTATACAGCAGTGGATTCGCAACCTCGACGTTGATTATCGTTTGCAGGACTCATTAAGTTGAGCACTGAATGGTTGGTCATAAGACATGGTTAAAGTTATACCTGGTTGCCAGTTTCACATGTTATGTCAGTTTCTAACATAATAATATTAGAACAAGTATCCTAATGGTGATAGCGTTTAGCTTGAGTAATGTGGCGAACTTGTCCATACTTCAGCTCTGTGCGCTGTCTGCATGGCGCTATTATTAATTTTGTATATGTTGTCACACCCACAGAGCAGCAGTATTTCGAAGTTGATAAGAGACTGTCACAGAATCAGGAGCGCCTGGTGTTACAGACTCAGGAATACAACAAACTCAAAGAAGACCTCACCAAACTTTGTAAGTGTCTGCGTAGCTGATCGTGGGACTTGATGCCATCTGAAATATGACTTCAGCTGTATAAACTCTTCTGTTTTTTGCAGCTGAGGAATTGAAAACCTTGAAAGATAAAAACAAGGAGCATGAGACGTCGGAAGAGAAACTTTCATCAGAGCAGGTGAAGATATGAAAGGGCTTTTTGCCAGCTGTCCGTTCAGGACAGATTAGTAAGATGCACTCGAATGGGATGTATGTGATGAAGATTAAGGATCTGGAACTAATCAAGCCAATTTCCACCCTTGACTTTTCTTTTCTAGAATGCCATGTCGAAGGCTATGTATGAGCTGGAGGCAGAAAAACGAGAACTGGTGCGAACCCTTGAGAAGAGATCGCAAGAAGTGGAACATCTCAGTGGTGTGTTATCACATCTTAACAGAAGTGGGCATTTCAGGTCCAGAAAGTAAAAAATCCAGGCAAAGATTGTTCACACACACATTTATATGCATATAAAATATGGTCTTGGCTTACCAAATCAATAACTTTGTGTGATTATCAGGTTTTGTATAATGACCATTTATCTTATTGGATGCCAGTTTTTTGCATGTTTTTTTTTTTTTTTGAAACTGCCGTTTACATCTGGAACATTGTTGGTGTTATTGGCTCCATGTTTCACAGAGGACCTGAAGCGTCTCAACGACAAGCTTGTGGAAACCAATGCAGAGAAGATGGATCTCCAGCTGAAGTTGGATGAGCTCCAGTCCTCTGAGGTATCGATCAAGGTGAGTTTATGGTCCTCCCTGTGCTTCTGCGAATTCCCCGCACAAAGACTTTAAAACTGAGAGCTCTCATTTGTGATTGTGCCACAGTACCGTGAGAAGAGGTTGGAGCAGGAGAAGGAACTTCTCCAGAACCAGACCACCTGGCTGAACTCTGAGCTCAAGGCTAAAACTGAGGAGCTCCTTTCCATCTCCCGGGAGAAGGGCAACGAGATTCTCGAGCTCAAGTGTACCCTGGAGGACAAGAAGGATGAGGTGTCATAGCTTCTCATGAGGAGCCTTTGAAGTCTCTCTTGACTTTGGGTAAAAGTAAGAGCTTCTTCCTGGACATATTACTTGAGTATCACGTATGTCGTGGTTTGTCCTTGCAGGTGAACAGACTTCAAGACCAAGTCATGAGCTTAAAAAATTCCAACGAGAACTTCCAGAAACAAGCTGAGGACTTGATGATGAAGTTGAAAGAGGTAGATGCTCTGCACTGTTGCTTCATGGCTGCACGCAAGTTGATCTGAATATGCACTGCTCAACAAGTCCACTTTTATCACTTTAGGTGAAAGACCAGCAGTCCTCCATGGAGGAGAAGTTCAGGAATGAGTTAAATGCACACATAAAGCTGACCACTTTATACAAGGTAAGATGTAACATAGGTAAGATTGCTAGAGTGAATTGGAAGACCGCCCTATTTGTTATGTGTTGGCATGCCCTATTTTATGAAGCGATATCCCCTGCATGGCCAGAAGGTGGTACCTTTATCCAGTGCACTTGCTACCCTTTGAAGGTCTATATTTGCAATATATTCTTGAGCACTGATTGGGGGCATTCCTGTTCATAGAGTGCAGCATCTGATTCTGAGTCCAAGAGTGAGGAGCTGAGTCGTGCTGTAGAAGAGCTCCACAAGCTGCTGAAGGAGGCAGGAGAGGGTAACTGGGATGCCCGCCATCTTCACTCGGATGCCGTGACGTGGATACCTGACTCACGCCCAACTTTTCATCCGACAGCCAACAAAGCCACTGAGGGCCGCCTGGCTGAGGCTATGGCTTCCAAGGAGAAGGTGGAGGCAGAGCTGAAGGAGAAGATCTCCAGCTTGGAGAAGGAGCTGGAGAATGCCAACACGCTGCTCTCGGACTCCAAGCGCAAAGGTGAACGATTCCCTCTGGGCGTTTTGACTGAGTGGCGATGGTAGCCGATATGTCTACCACAGGACGGGGGCGTGATGACGATTTTTGCGCGTGGCTTTTTCTAGCGGGTGTCGCCGCGCTCACTGAGGAAGAGCTGACCACCATGTCTCCCACCGCTGCCGCCGTGGCCAAGATAGTGAAGCCTGGCATGAAATTTACAGAGGTAGGAATCTGGTCTTTACCAACTGAGGTCACTGCTTTTTTTTTTTTAAATGTGGGAATCGTTGCTTTTCAAGTGAATGAAGCTCTTATCTATGCCCTTAGCTATATAATGCCTACGTGGAGGCCCAGGACCAGCTGCAGCTGGAGCGGCTGGAGAGCAAACGCGTGAACCAGTACCTGGACGAGATTGTGCAGGAGGTCGAGGCCAAGGCGCCCATCTTGAAGAGACAGCGCGAGGAGTACGAGCGCATGCAGAAGTCTGTGGCCAACCTGTCCGCCAAGCTGGAGCAAGCCATGAAGGTGAGCAGCTTCCTCTGGCGCCGCGGTGACCTGTGGTACTAGGCTTTTCTACCTTGTTTCTGGAGGAATAAAGTATGACAGACCACTTATTCTGATTGGTGAGTAGCGGATAGAGCCCATCACAAGCCGCACAGAGCAGATGTAAAGGAATAAAGTATGACAGACCACTTATTCTGATTGGTGAGTAGCGGATGGAGCCCATCACAAGCCACACAGAGCAGATGTAAACCCTGGATGGGATGCCATCTCATTACAAGGCACATACAGAGAAGCACACTCAAGCATGTTCGTACACTATAAGTGACTTGTCGATGCCTGCTAATGCCTTTGGACTGAGGGAGGAGACCCAAAGAACACAAGGAGAACATGCAAACTCCACCCACACGGTGGAGGTGGGATTCGAACCCACAGCCCTGAAGGTGTGAAGTGACAGTGCCAGCCACTGACCCACCCTGAGGGTTTTTATTTAATCAGTGTAGATGAACTCAGCCAAGTTGGTGTATCATCTTAAGTGTTGGGGTTTTAAGGAGTGAAACCTGCTTATGTCTTGGAAGAGATTCTCTCTGAAACGGTTCCTGTCTCAGTTCTGCGACACGAGTTGGACCTTTTTCATGTTCGCAGGAGGTGCATCGCTTGCAGAAGGAGACTGATGAAGCTAACAAGCGTTCCTCTGCGCTGGAGAGAGAGAACCAGAGATTCGAGCTGCAGGTCACCGACCTGTCTCAGCAGGTGGGTTAATGCAGACCTGTCCGTCTCACCAAAAATGCAGTGTTGGTATTTCTAAGGTTATTGAACCCGAGTCCACCATGCCGCAGATCCGCGTTCTCCTGATCGAGCTGGAGGAGGCCCGGGGCAACCACGTAGTCCGTGAGCACGCAGACATCAGCTCTGCCGACATCAGCAGCAGCTCTGAGGTCATCACCCAGCGCTTGGTCACCTTCCGCAGTGTAGAGGAGCTGCAGCAGCAGAACCAGCGCCTCCTAGGGGCGCTGCGTGACCTGGGCGAAGCACGAGAGAAGGAGGAGCAGGAAGCCACAACTTCGAGGTATAGGGATGGCAGTTCGTAAATCGGGGTTTTCCACTCCCGCTAAATCACGCCCCTGCCCAAGGGTTTCTGTTTAGGCCAACGAGCTCTCTGCCACCCCCTGCAGGAAGACAGAATTGGAGCAAAGTCTAGAGAAAGCACAGCGGGAGCTGGAGCAGCTACGCGAGCAGCGGAGCCACCAGATGCAGTTGACTGAGTCCATCGTGCGCCAGCGGGACATGTATCGCATCCTGCTGGCCCAGACTACGGGGGTCAGCTTCCCGGTGCAGGGTGAGCACTTCCCGCTGACCTTGCCATATGCAGCGAGTACAGAAAGATGTTTCTGTGGGTGTAGCGTAGATTCTGCCATATTCACTTCGCTGGCTGTGTTTCAGGCCCCGCCCCCGAGGCGTCTCCGGTGACGTCCACCCCCCGTCGCTCTCCGGGTGTCACTCCCATCCGCCCCACGCCAGTGAAGGCGGCCACCACTGCGGTGCCCACAGAAGCAGTGGAGGCCAAGGCGGCACTGAAGCAGGTATCTCTACCTCAAAGGCTGATTTGTGCTTCTGCGTCG